TAAGTATACATATCAGGTATACTTTATTATTATTATTATTTTTTTTTTTTTTCGCTAGTTACGTTATACGCACTTCATATTTTTATAGGCATTTATAAATGTTATCCCTTTAATTATTTTATTATTTAGTAACCATATACCACACTACTTTTTTGTACAAAATTTTTGTTGTGTTTTTTTTCACATTTTTTCATCTTTGCAAACAATCGTACTACATCTTACGTATGCACATTTTATGTTGCCATGAATTGTGTGTGTTTTTTTTCAAATAACTTTTTTTGCAAATAAATAGATAATGATTAGAAAAAATTTTTTTTATTTTAGAGACATTATCGGTATATTTCGTATATAGTTTAATGTCATATGGAATTAAAACAAATTTTTCTCTAAGTTGAGCGACTCTTTACTAGAAAAATGTATTTATAGTTTCTCATACGCATATAGTAATGTGCAATGCTATTTGTTTGGTGAAAATTTATTACTTTTAAATTACCAAAAATATAATATTGTAAAAACATAAATAATAATAATAAACAATCCTAGAGATCAATCGTGTGTTTTATAGTTTCTTAGCTCTCTTTTACCATGAAGCGAATAATTGAAATATACAATATTTGCATCGGATTGTTACTGGATACCTTAGTAGTACCAGAAATAATTGTTTAATTATCTTATGGAGCATGTAGCGTTAAACAGATGAAATATGTGTACCACGTGTACCATCACTTTCGTCGAGATAACTTTTACTAATATAAATACTTAAAGTAATATATTTTTACTGTTTTACCTGGTTGTGTACTTATAGCATCAAAATATTAATTTTTACACATTTCAAATTTAGAAAGTAGATTTGTTAACGAAGGACATATTGGTGTACATTTCAAAACTTTTTTTTTTTTTTCATTCATAATTTTGATTATAGTCAATTGTTTAAAATCAAAATTTACGTTTCGTTCCATAAGCGAATGCTACGCAAAATTATGATTACACCACCGCGACCGTAAGGAGATTCAGCAGTGAGTTTAAAATCAAAGTCGCCAGTGTGCGCTATGAATAATTTATAACTTGTACTCCAATAAAAGAGTATATATAGCTTGTTTCAAAAAAATAAAAGATCATATATCACGTGATTTAATTTCTTGGAAAAATTATAATCTTAAATAAATGAAACAGAAAAAAAAAAAACAGTTTCAACACATAAAGTGTCGAAAATCGAAATATCGTTCCTTAGTACCTCCAGTACGTGTCTACCAAGCAGTAGCTCTTAGCGTTATAAACATCAATTCTAGAAATAATTAATCAAAGTATAGCGTCATACCGCAGACGACATTCAATATATACATTTAGCGTACGGAGAAGCGAGCGCTTTATGTAACGTTGGCAAAATTTCATAAAATAATTTGTTCCGACCTCGTAATCAATTTTCCAAAATTTCATACAATTTGTAAGATTTTTTTTTTGTTCACTACCGAATCTCCTTAAAAAAAGGAA